CTTTGTAGCCAGTACGAAAGATCTAATCAAGCAAATAGGAGGAACAACCGAACATATATTTGTTAAATGGGAGCTCCTTAAACAAGAACTAAAACAGCTAGCAATTGAGAGAGGTACTATTATTAAATTTCAGAAGGCTGAGACAGAAAAAACATTGCTTCGTAATTTGCGTGTTCTGGTAGAACTAGAATGCCAAAGTCCTGGGCAAGGTTTGGAAGATATAACTCGAACGAAAGCTGAGTTGGACAAATTTCATCACGAGCGTTATCAAGGCGCGGTTGTGCGCGCCCGTGCTGAAAAATTTTGCTTAGGAGAACAGCCAACGAAAAGGGCAATGGAGGAGGAGAAACGGTATGCAATATCTAAAGAAATTCATGAAATAGAACAGAACAGCCTTATCGTTACAGATAAAGAAACTATAGCACGTGTTTTTTTTGAACACTACCAAAATATATTCGGCAATGGTCCTGCCTCGACAGATAACGAATATCTAGATAAACTAGTCTCTTTGTTGCCTCAATTAGAAAAAGAATGCAAACAAGAATTTGAGACCCCCTTCACCCTAGATGAAGTAGAAAAAACAGTGAATGCCCTTCCAAGAAGAAAAACGCCAGGACCAGACGGCATCCCTGCAGAATTTTATCAACTACAAAAAGACACTTTATGTCCCATACTGCTTGAGATTTTTCAAGAGGCCTACAAGACCAAGAGTCTTCCCCCCTCATTTTTGCGAACGCATACTATACTCATTCCCAAAACCGAGGACAAACACAAACTATTACAAGTGACCGGCTATCGGCCCATAACGTTATGTAATGTGGATTATAAGATTTTTGCTAAACTCCTGACAAATAGATTACAAAGTGTCATTTGCGGTCTCGTTGGAGAACACCAGACTTGCGGGATTCGCGGACGGGCTATTCAAACAAATGTACACATTGCGAGAAGTGTGTTAGAGTGTGTGACCAACAGTAGTGAACAGATTGCAATGGTCCAAGTTGATCTGGCGAAAGCTTTCGACCGTGTCAGTCATCATGTTCTTTTCAAAATTTTGTCTCATATTGGTGTTGGTGATATTCTACTTCAAGGTGTACAAATGTCTTACAGTAACTGTTCCACACGCTTAGTTATAAATAACGAAGTCACAGCAAGTATCCCAGTCCGTTCCTCAGTTCGACAGGGCTGTCCCTTATCGCCTTTACTTTTTACTTTATATCTTGAACCCTTATGCCAAAGTATACTGAGAAGTGAGAAACTTCAAGGCTTCACCCTGTGCAACACCGAAGTCAAAGTACTGGCGTATGCAGATGATGTCGCTTACTTCTGCAAAGACAAGAACAGTGTGTCCCATGCTATGGAACTCACACACAGGTTTTGCGAGGCCACTGGAGCCTCAGTGAACCTAGAAAAGTGCCGAGGTTTCTGGCATGGAGCTTGGGCCACGATGCCAGAACAATATGAAGGCATCCAGTGGAGTTGCACTCCGTGTGACTACCTAGGTGTGCCCTTGAGGCACTTCCGGAATAGCAAGTCCTACTGGTCCAGAATTGCGACTGGCTTGGGGAAACGAGCCAAGCACTGGTCCCACAAAAATTTGTCCATTTTTGCACGTTCGACAGTCTGCAACATTTTTTTAGCGGCGAAATTGTGGTATGTCCTGCAAGTACTGCACTGTGCAAGGATAAATATACAGAAGTTGCACAGGGTGTTTAGTGTTCTTGTCTGGAAGTCCTCCTGGGAACCCATGCGTCGTGACAACTTGTTTCGACGTTTATCAGAGGGGGGACTAGGCCTTCCTCATTTGTTTATTCGCCAATTGGTTTCGCGATTTCTTTTCTTACGAGACCAGGAACATCCTTTTCTTCGAGATGTCATTCAGAACAAGCTGGGATGCTTTCTTGCGGACTTTATTGTATCCTCCACAGGATATCAAACATGTACTTTGGTGGGATACCTAAAGGAAGTAGTTGATGCTTATCACTTTCTGTCAGTAAGATTTTCAAGAGACTATCTGACGTCTGTAACACGTAAGAAGTTGACGAGAGATCTTGTATCTGACCTCTTTCCAATGCCAGTTTATCGCACTATGTTCGGCGATGGTCCTGACCAAGATGTACTACGCCGGGTGAAAAAAATGTGCATCCCCCCGGCGGCAAAAACTTTCTTTTTTAAACTGCACTGTTCGGTATTACCTACCAAAGTATGGCTGCAGGAAAAGGGCCTATATGTTCCGTGGTCAGTAAACTGCACATTATGTAAAATGCCCGAAACAGTCGAACTCGTATTTATTCACTGCTGGGACGCGGTTTTCTTTTGGGACGTTTTGCAGCGCCCACTAAAGAAAGACATTGATATTACAACTTACACGATTCGTTTTCTTCCTGTGTCATCTAAAGATACTTTTCCTTTCGATCTGGTGATGCTTGTAGCGTTATACAGCATGTGGAAATCACGCCTTGACATTAGAAATGAGAATTTGTACCCAAAGACTGTACGCTTACATTTCATTGACCTTGTAACCCGTATCAAAAGTGTGTATGACATTCAAGAAGTAGTTCCGGAATGGTTACCTTTGTTTAGTAGTCTCATAGATATCAAAGAATTTTGACTTAACAAATGACATTGAACCATGCCCGTGAACTGTGAATAAGTGGTTTATGTTTATCCTCCCATGCAATAAAGAAAAAAAAAAAAAAACGGTTCCATAGCATAGCGGTTAAGGTGTGCGAATTGTACGCAAGTGGTCGCGGGTTCGAATCCGCGGTTGTCGTGCTTTTTTTTTCTTTTTTTTTTCTTGAACATTTTGTTTTATCGAGGCATTTGGCGATATTTATGAGTGCGTATAGCTTTACTCTTATATAAATGCTGCCCTTGTTGATGAAATTCCCTTGGCAGTGGCAGTCAGACGTCATCTGATGGACCATCAGATGACGTCTGATGGTCCATCACGTTCCACTAAGGCTGCTGACTGGCACTCAGTGTCCCAAATTACGTACCTTGATGGAATTTTCAATAGGGATGATTAACTTCGCTCGTGCCTTGAACGCATGTTAGAGCGCCGCGATAAGGGAAACACGTACTTCGAGATCTGGGACCGCGGGAAGGGGATTTTCGGGAAGATGAATGACGGGAAGGCATCCGCCGATCCCGGAGGAGTGTTTATGTTCCAATCAAACTTGTGTCTATCTCAAATACCCTAATCACGATACTGTACCTCAAGTACATTTTGAAGTATCTTGATATCTTGCAAATACTTTTGATCGAGAGCATTTGATATAGTATTTTAATTACATTTCTGAGTATCTTGAACTTATTATCTCAAATACACTTTTGACATTCGGCCATTTTCCGAGTTTTTCGGTGTAAAGTGGCGTGGGCGTGGCACGAGCAAACGTGAACATTCCAGCAACCGAATCCTGTTAATTGCAAGCTCCAATAAGCTACGGGGACTTAGATTTTGCTTGTGAAAGCGTCGTGCTTGTGCCGATTGTGACGCATATTTTACCTCAAAGTTCGAACAATGAAGCTTTTCCCCTCGTCTTCCCAAAGGCGCCTTTTGTTTCCTTAGAGTTTCCCCCAAAAGATCCTCAAACAAAAGGGGCGGTTTTACGGAAGTAAAGATTGCCACACAAGCGCAACGCAGAACGGGAAATGACCCACGACAAGGCAGACTTCAGTGTAAAGAAAATAACAAATAAAAGAAAATGAGAAGTGTACACAAAAAGGACACCTTTTTTTTTTGCTCATTGTATGTTTGACAACGCTACTGCAAAATTGCTTTTTTTTTTCTCTTCTTTTTGCTTTCAGCCCGGCACTTATTGCTCTCGCGGACACTGTCTGTAAGCGAAAATTTATAAGTAGAGAACAGAACAGGAAACTACGAGCAGGATGACCTCTCAAAATGCCAACAAAGCGTCCCCCAATGTTGAGTGCCTTTCTGAACGCAACCTAATAGAAGAAGGTGCGATCAGTACCGTGGTTATTACGTGGGCTCTCTTTGTTATCCATTCCCTCATTTCCATATCCCAAGTTCGTTTACTGTGAACTCCCCTATAGGGAATATAGTTAAACGATGCGTCTTAGGTGCGCCGCAGGACGTGGTATTCAGCTATGTTACTAAAGCTGAAGTGACCCCTTATTTTTTTATTTTTTGTTTCAGAAGTGTTTTGTCCTACGATGCTTTTCCCTTGTTTTGGGATGTTTCGCGCTAATACACCGTTCTGGTAAACCAGATTTGCGCAACTGTATAATTGTGTTTGTCACTGACGTCGATACAAATTACCGTAATGCGGAAGTATCTTCAAAAGTAATCGAATTACATTTCCAAGTATTTGTTATTTACTCAAGGTAATTTACAGTGAAAGTAAGTTGAGTAGTAGTTTAAATAGTTTATGAAGCAGGTATTTAGTAACTTAACTTAATAACTTTTATCGAGTATTTTATCCAACACTGTGTTCCACTGGGTATCCGGAGGCGGAGCGTTTCCGTTCGGATCACGTGCTCCATCTTGGATCTGGTCTACTGATCCCGGCGCGCTCGAAAGCGACCAGCGGAATTTGCAGTAAGAAACTTTCAAGCCCAAGGAAAAGACAACGGAGGAGAACGCCTCCTCTGTTCTCTGTTGTCTTTTCCTTCGACTTGAAAGTTTCTTCGTTTTTTCCTCACCACAGTCTCAGGTGCTACATTATGATTCTCACCAGCTTGCCTGCACATTCATTGGTGCTTTTGATAAAAATATTAATAAAAAGATAAGCTTGTTCTTGCAATCTGGTATAGAGACGATTACTGGGAGCAGTATGGATAGATACCTTTATTTGTAATAAATGCTATTTCTTAAGCTTTAGTTGCTTTAGTGGAGTAATTGCAGGTAACACACGTGTTTTGTTATGCACGTGGGTGTACGAAGTGGGAACCGGCGAGGTTTACTGTACAAACAAAATAGATCCTTGTGAGGAGCTCCGCTTTTAACTGAAACTCCTTAAACAAACTGTTTGGTCTCATCAATTTATTCGTGACACTGACTTTGCCAGGAAAGGATTACTTGCGGTGGCAGACAGTGTCATTGTAGTACCAAATGACAGTATTATTGTTGCATGCGTGTATATAACTGGAGCAGAAAGAAGAAGGCAGTCCATCCTTCCCCGGACGCTGAGTTTCCCAAAGCTCGCAGTGACCTGTAATTGAAAGTCACGGCCATTAAAAAACTCCCCCCCCCCCCCAAAAAAAAAAAAAGAAAAAACAAATCGGAGTATATTTTGAAATTTAATTAATTGTCCAATTTGCTTTATGGCGTAACAAACAATGGAAAGAAAACAAGGAAGGAAAAAGAAAAGAAGAAAAGGACAGCCAAGGCTGCCGACGAATTATGATGAATGAGGAAAGAATAAACATGGGGACATGGTTAACTGTTACCTCACTTTCTATACTTCGTTTCACCGTGAATTGGTAAAGAGCGAACGCTACGGCTCCCTCCAGCCAATCAAAGCGATGGACGCGAAGCACGTGACAGGCTTCAGGGGCGGAAACCAGGGAAAAAAAAAGTTATTTTAATAAATTATATAAACCATATTTATTTTATTAAAATCAGATATAGTTGGTTTAAATCACATTCATTTGATTTCAAGAACTGTAGCGATAAAATAGGGATTATTTATCACTAGACCCGTTTTCACCTCAAGCACCGTAGTAAAAAAAAGTCCGTCTCTTTGCCGAGCGAAGTGCCTTTTGTAGAAGCTTGTTTTTGATGGCATATTGTTTGCTGGACTTTAGTCGATAAAAACGATCAGTTCCAGATGGCAATTGACGTTCTAGTAAACTTGCAGCAATAGAAAGACACGGGCACTATTTTCTCTCGGGCTCCACACCACCTCCATAAAATTTGACCAATGAAAATAGTTCATGGCGTAGAGATCCCGAGCATTACTACTATTGCTCTTTGTATGGGCGTTGTCCATTATATTTCTATGAAAACGTCAAATCTTTGTGTGTAGTAGGGTGCATGTAATATTGCCCTTATTCCTCAAAAATGCCGTCCGACGGTGACCCCCCCCCCCATTGTGTCTGCTCCAGGGCGCAGAAAGAGGGGCATGTCACAAACTTTGGTTAGATTTTGAATAGGGAAATCGGCCCACCAAGAGTGTAATTTCAGGTCTTTCAGGATGCCTAGAGCCCGTAGATCGAGTTATCTCTAAAAATAGACGATCTTAGAATTCACTTGAGTGCCCCTGTAATGTTGAGAATTAAGATATATGCAGCTGTATTTTAGATTATATATATATATATATATATATATATATATATATATATATATATATATATATATATATATATATATATATATATATATATAGCCTAGAGCCCGTAGATCGAGTTATCTCTAAAAATAGACGATCTTAGAATTCACCTGAGTGCCCCTGTAATGTTGAGAATTATGATATATGCAGGTGTATTTTAGATTATATATATATATATATATATATATATATATATGTGTGTGTGTGTTATCTTATGAATCTTGTGTCTAACAAGATGATTCGAATAATTATAATTAAAAAAGCTTACCTCCGTACATAAGTTTTTTTTATTTGTAACTTTTGATTGATATCAGTTTTTACTTCGATAGTTCCGAAAGTTCAATCCACTATCTAGCCCTACTTTCGTGGCAAAAGTACAGCGGTGGAGCTTGCAGAATTGAATTTTGAGATTTATTCCGGTACGTCACTAAAAGTACTCAAATAAAAGAAAGGAGTGCGCGACTTCATTCTCCTCCAAAATGGGCGGGAACGAATCATGGCGAACAATAGAAGGATCCAGGTGAATGACGAAACTCAAAATACGATTAGACCAAGAAGAAGCCGGCTGTGCCAATGAACATGACGTTTCACTTGCGTGCTGGAGATGCTCCATCTTCCGCACGCATGCATGTTACTTTCCGTGGTGCACTGGCTGCGCGTGCGTCGAAGTGTTAACAAAGGCAGAATGCTCCTTCTTGGATGCGGAGCTTCTATTGCAGATCTCAAGTGAAAACGATCGGATGTGAGGAGTTCTCACTGATGGGCTCTAGCGTTCACGCCGCTTCGTGGCCACAGTCTGCGGCGGCTCATTACAAAGATGTTAACCCATTTGGCCCACCCCGTTCAATCCGCTTCGCGGCGAAAGTCTAAAACGGCTCCTTACAAAAAAAAAAAAAAAAAAAAAAATACTCTGAGTTGTTTTGAGACATCGCGTGTCGATCAAACAATCTGTCGATGAAACGTCGTTCGATGAACTGACTGCACTGCCAATGAGTGGCGACTGCCGGTAGAATTTCGGGGAAATAATTCTGCCGACTTCCGGGGGAATACACACCGGCCAAGAATTATCCCGGTTCTTGTTTGCTTTGCAATGTTCTCAGTTGTAAAACAGCTTAGTAGTACATTCTCACGTCATATTACAGATTAGTTTGTACTTGTTTACGGAACAAGCTGTGTGTAATAAACTTCTAGGAGATTTAAAAACAATCCTTTGTGTCTGTTTACCTGCCTTTTGGCACACCCCTGAGCGAGTACATTTTTTAATGGTTTGTTAATGTTTTAATTAGGTTTATTAAGTTCGAAACATCTTGAATTGATGTCCAACCTTCGTCTTTTATATCCAGATATAAGGTCGGCGCTTTTATTTATTAAGATGTACAGTGAGAACAAATAATTTGTTTCACATTTCATACGATTACGGTAAAAAGAAAGAAAATAGGCAGCTATAGCACGATGGTAAAGGGAGCCATAGGACGAGCTATAGGATAAGCTATAGCAGACCATACAGAAGGCAGTAGGTGGATAAAGAAACCATAGGGAATGCTATAGGCAGCTATAGCGCAATGGGCAAAGAGAGCCATAGGACGAACTATAGAATGAGCAAACCATACAGAGGGCAATAGGCGGCTAAAAAAACAAAAACAAAAAACACACAGGAAAAGTCATCGCCTGTTATAGCGCGCTGGTTAGGAAGATCTATAAAGTAAGCCATAAAAATCTCTATAGCAGGCCATACAAGAAGCTATAGATGGCAAAAGAAAGCATAGAAAAAGCCATAGCACCTATCGAACACTGGCTAAAAATACCCATATAATAAGACAGAAATCTCTATAAAAGGCCATACATATATACATACCAGATATGTACAAATTACTCAAAAAAGGTAGTTAAGTTAAGTTACTGAGTATCGACGCCAAAAGTAATTGGAGTAGAGTAGAAATTACGTATTTGTAATAGTAATTGAGTAAACTACTAACTACTGTAAAAAGTAGCGAGTTACTTTGAAGTTACTTTCGAAGTTACTTTTTTATATTTTTGTGGTAGCAAAATGAACAGCAGTTTTGATCAATGAAAAACCCTGCGAGCCTAAAATAAATGCAGTCTATCTATGGCTTGCGTTTTCGCCAAAATAGTTTATTCGCTCGCAGAAGCAATTGACTTCCAAAGTTCTTGATAGGAGAGCTTTCCCCTTTTCCTTCTAAGGACGCCCCCAGCCCAGCTAAATAGACGTTCCACCGACGGGCTGGATGGAACGGCAGCGTTGAATTTGAGAAACAGGCTGTGCAGGGTCGGGTAAGCGATTGTCGGCATCTTAGGTGTCCATGACTAAACATGTGAGGTTTGCCTCGGGTAGCAGGATCTTTTGTAACAAACTTTCCTCCTTTTTTCTTTTTTCTTCGTCAAGTTGAGATTGTTATGACTGGCCCCTCTTTATTCCGACGTCGTTCTGAGAGTACGCTGAGCGAGTGCACCAGATCGTCAAGGATTCAAGTCTCGCGCCACGACGATGAGATCATCCGGATGACTGCGCGTCCCGTTGTAGTGCTAGTGCTACGCTACTGAAAAAAAAAATTGTTTTGGTTTAACAGATGATGAACCGAAGTATACTTCACCGCTGACGCCGGGTCCAACAAAATGATCTCCCAAGGGTAACTCGCAATCCTCCCCGACGACTACAATATTCTGATGCCGCTGACACGCCTGACAAGTAAATCGTTTTTAACAAAGAGGAGGTCTCCCAGGCATGGATGGTCGGAAGGACGCGAAGGATTACGTGAACAAGCATCGTCGCTCGTATACAGTTGCAGCTGGAAGCGGGAAAGTGCTCCCATGAACTGATTATCTGTGCCAGGGTTTGTGCGCGGGGGAGTCCGGCTTTGCAAAGGCGTATGCGCTGATGACAAGGCGACCATGGGAACAGGAGCCCAGCTGCGAGGTCATTCCAGTGGCGCCTCCCGTGGAACCTGCCGCTTGAGTCAGAACTCACTAAAGACAGACAACACGAAAACAATAACAACTCTCGGAGTGTCCCCGTCTTTCATGGTTGCAGCTGGAAACGCGGCGCCTGCGTGCATTACCGTATTAGGTCAATACCCGACCAAGGCTTGTTAAGCATCTCTTCCTGCGTTCGTGCGTGCCGGTGTTATGTTTTGGCAGCTCATCGCCACCTTGGCCCAAGGACGCCTTCCTGAACAAGGGGGCCCCTTGTTGGGGAATGCCACTTTTTCTGCCGGCGTCTTATTCAATTCTGCGCTCAAACTTTCGTGATGGGCAAAATTAGCACTATATAATTTCGAAAGTAGTTAGTAATTTGAGTAGAAGTTACCTGAAAAAATTAGTTAAATTAAACTACTAATTACCCAAATCAAGTTGTAATTGAAAGTTACCAAGTTACTCGAAAAAGTAGTTAAACTACAGTAGTTTGAGTAGAGTAGTTGAACTACGTCCAAGTCTGATACATACCAGGAGCTATAGATGGCTAAGAAAACCATAAGAAAAGCCATAGGCGGCTATAGCAGTCTGGTTAAAGAGAGCCATAGGGAAAGCAATCGAAGTCTCTAAAGCAGACCATACAAAAAACTATGATGACGAATGAAAAAATTGAAAAAAGCCATAGGCATGTCATGCTGGTTAAAGCGACTCATAAAGAGAACCATAGAAACCTCTAAAGCAGATCATACAAAAAGATGTCGAGGACGAAAGAAACTATTGAAAATGCCATAGGCAGCTGTAGCACGCTGGCTAAAGAGATCCGAAGAGAAAGCCCTAGAAATCTCTATAGCAAACCATACAAAAAGCTTCAGACGGCTAAAGAAAACACAAGAAAAGCCGTAGGCGGCTATAGGATTCTTTCTAAAGAGACCCGTAGAGTGAGCAATACAAAACTCCATAGCTATTCATTGAAAAAGCTATAGATAGTGGCAGCTAACCAGTGATAGACGACAGAAAATTAAAAGCTATTGGCGACGTGCGCGATCGAAAGCGTCGCTGTGTTCGGCCTTCCACGATTGGCCGAACGCCAACTATAACGTCACCAAAGGGTTTATCATCGACGGAAATAAGAGTAATGGAAGAAATTCAAGTTTGGTGGTTTTGGCAGTGTTGGTTTCAGATCGCAATGATTCCAGGCATCCGCCATGCTAATTACAAACGCCATCGAACTCGTTGTTCGCAAGGTAATGACGTCACAAGAGTGAACCATAGGAGGGTGCCACCAAAAGCCATAATAGCGGCTATTGGCGGCGAGATGTTTTGGTGGCGCCCTCCTATGGTCACCTTTCGTGACGTCATTACCTCGCGAACAGCAAGTTCGATGGTGTTTGTAAATAGCATGGTGGAAGCTTGAAATCATCGCGCTCTGAAAGCAAAACTGCCAACACCGTCGAATGAAGTTCTTACATTACTCTTATTTCCGTCGATGAGAAATCATTTGCTAACGTCATGGTCAGCATTCGGCCAATCGTGGAAGGCCTACCACAGCGTCGCTTTCGATCGCTCACGTCGCCAATAGCTAATTGGGCCAATTTTCTATAGCTGGCCATACAAAGAATTTTTTATAGATAATTTTTGTATGGGATAGCTGATTATTCAAAGCGTCTGGAATTCATGAGCAGTGGAAATAGCGATGAGCTCTCGTTTGCATTCACACGCGAGCGATGTTTTTGAATAAGCAGAGCTCTTTTTTTTTTCGCTTGTTTATAACTTTGTCTTTCACTCTGGTGGACTGCCACATGAACCAACCTAAATGTCAGCGACCAAAGTTACAAAGGGGTGCTTACTTGACTTTTCATGGTACAAGAGAGCGCATGAGTTGACGTCTGACAACAAGAGATACATTGTTCCTGCTTGAGCTGAAAAAAAAGTGGGAGAGATTTGGCAAATAAAAAAAAAATGCAAACAGACCTGTCGAATATTCACTGAATAACTCGCCTACTTCTGTTTCCATATATTCTGTAGATGTCCATGTAGTTCGGAGCCCCATATCCTGATGATGTCTTGGGTACTATGTCATACGTCGAATTTAACCTGTAACGGTGAAAACTGCAGCTTGGGCGACAATTATCACAGACACACAGCGCACAATTAGCACACACACGAAACACTGCTTACATACCGTGCTGATTTCTTAACAACCTGTAACGCTTGTGAAGCAAAAGTCGCGGTCAAGTAAACCTTCTCCCTAGAACACCTTATGATATGGTATAATTGCAGATTGTGTTCGACGGTTCGGATTCCCGAGAAGAGCTTAACACATTTATGGGGGAAACCAGAGTATACATAATACAGAAGAGGGGAACTCCGAAGGCCACCCAGCAAAATTGAACCGTATAACAGCCTATCTTAACACTTCGGTCCCACAGCGGCCATCTTGAATGGCTACACAAGGGGTTTTCATTTATTGAAATGCATATAAAAAACATACTCAAAAGTATTTTGCCAACATAATCCATGTGGTCTTCGGGAGTCTATGGTAGGCTAAAACGATAATAAGTTAAAAAGTTAACTGGATAATTAAACGAGTACCGTAATATCCCGAGAGATAAGAGAAAATTGGGTGAAAAATAATGGGTGGGCTAACTTTCGGTGTGCTACCAAGAAAAGTTTTAAAAGAATGCTATTTTTAGATCTGTCCCTGCCAAACTTATTATCGCGGCGAGGGGCAATGAAGCAAAGATCTCTGCACTTCCCAGTCAACAATGTTCGCTAAAATCCCGTAATATCCACGTCTTTACTCTTTATTATAAAACCAAACAAACGGTGAAGATTATCACCCTCTTATTTAAAGCGGCACTAAAGCGCTTTTCGAGATCCTCGCCTTATTGTCATAACTCCGTCTATCGAACACTAATACCCTAAAAGAAAACGAAATTACATTCATACGCGCCGAATTGCGTATTACAAAAACTATCAAAAATCCCAACACTTACCTTTGGCGCAGAACAACAGGTGGCGGCCGCGCATGCATGTAATTTTGGGTCTTTTTAGGATGTTTGGTGCTCATAGATTGAGTTATGACAATAAAGCAAGGATCTCGGAAAACGCTTTAATGCCCTTGAACAATAATATTGTAGGGGAAAGATGAGAAGCCCGTCGGAATATTTACTCGGCAATTAACGAACTAAGCAAATATTATATGACTATAATAGCTTGTCATAGAATCCCTAAGAACAAAAAGAACATGCTAGCACAGTTCCTGTAGAGAATGTATATTAATTTTTGTCTTAATTAAAAACTGGTTTGCATTCATTCAAGATGCCTGCCGTGCGTCCGGAGACCGTGTCACCAAGCGAACTGCGCAAGCGCGCGCATTCCGGAAGTATTGCCGCCGCCATGCTAATTGTCGTCATCCCTTTCCGGCTTCCCGGTTGCGTAGGGCTGTGGTGCGCGAACATCATCGTAGATTATCGTTTGGGGACGCACCGGTGTCAGCTTGGATTTCCCTGCATGTCTGGACTTCATAAGAATGTGTTGCTTGTGGTGCCATAAAGGGATACTTCAACGAAGTTTGAAATATACCCGTCGTGTTCAGAAATAGGCTGAATGTGATCCACAATATCCGTAAATGACAATCGCACGTTTGTATTTTGAGCCGGATGGCTGTATTTTTCGTTATATACGGTCCACTCTGGCAAGCGCTCGGAGAGCAGCCAGCGGGGAGCACGTGACATCCGGAGCATTCGTGACGTCGTCTGTCTCTGGACGAGCAAAGTTGCGGCGCGAGCCTGACTTCGACAGGACGATTGCGAGCAGGCATCTGGCCGCCGCCATGTCTCTGCTCTTGACGGCAAGTGGGGCAGGTTGTTCTGGTGGGACTGCCAAACTGGTTTTCCTTTATCTGCCGAAGCAGCTTTCTGCAAAGCTCATTTTACGTGCGTTCTACGTTTATACAAAGACAGCTGTTATCAGCTCTTCCCCCCTCCATGACGTCACGTGACTTCATGATGTCTTGTGACGTCACACTGTCACGTGGTGCCACACTGCCACGTGACAATAGTGTCGGACATCATAATATCACGTAACTACGCGAGTAGTCGCGTGGTTACTCGATATAAATATGTATTAAGAATTAGTAAAACTTACAAAAAATATTGAAGTATATTGTGGCGAACGAGAATCGGGAAGCTATAGTTTAGAATGAGACCTAACATACGATAAAAGTGTTGGCGATAGTACGTTGAGTTTTCAATAAATTATAAATAATTTGCGACCACTTTCGCAAATTATTTTCGCAACTGTTTTTGTCCTAAAGTATATAGAATAAGATTTTGATGCTTTGAGTTTAGATAAAACGAAACGCGACCAGAAAGGAGCAGCATGAAATTACACCTGGAGCAAGCTGGTTAAGAAGGAAATTAATAAATCAAAATAAGTCTTTCAAACACTCTAAGAAATGCCTGCACGTCTACTTACCCGCAAAACATTCAAAGAGCTAATCTCTGCTTTTTAGGAAATCAGCTGAGCGAATGTTGAGGCGGAACATCCGTTTAGATCTAAAAGCAAAGTCTGCGTCTGCGCTGTGGCATTACTCAATGCAAAGCGTCATGTTTGCGTTGCGTAATGCCACAGCGCAGATTTCACTTAGAGGTCTAAACAGATGTTCCGCCTCATCATTCACTGAGCCGATTTCGCAGATCACAGAGATTGGCTCTTCGAGTGTTTTGCGTGTAAGTAGACGTGCAGGCATTTCTTTGAATGAATATCATTAATTTATTATTTTCGCAATTCAGGAGCTCATGAGTTGCTTAACTGTGTGTTTGTTTCGACAAGGGGAAGTCAGTCAGCCCTGGTGTGTCTGCTGTAGAGAAATTTAGCGAGTGCAGTGCGACCCTTAGCCTGGGGTATTTAAGCTGCCTCACACCGTAGTGATTATACAAGCACACGTGGGCACAATGCACGACGAGATCAAAATGGGCAGGAGTGTGGATTGAGCTTGAGATCCCTCGGTTCTGCAGCACGAACGTTCGCTCCACGCGTTCCAAGCTGTGGTGCTTTAGCTCACGTTGCGGCTTTGCGTCGAGTGGCACGCACTTCTATGCTGAGCTACCTGTTCTCTCAACACTTCCTTACAGGAGGGGCAAGGGGGCACTTCCCTCCCCCTCCAGTTCTCACAGTGGGGGCAAGGCATGTCTTTTGCCCCCCCCCTGAAACAGCCACCACTTGGCAGGGCAAACACTGGCCGACAGCGCCTAAGGAATACCGAGGGAACCGCCCCCCGGCCCTGAGGCGGGGGGGGGGGGGGGGGGGGTCTGGTTTGTCCCCCCCGGCCCCCCTCAAATACAAGTTGGTACGCCACTGCCCGCATAAATTGCGTAATAAATAATAAAAAAAAATATAAAAAGGACAACATGAGGATTGCGCTTTGATTGTATCAAACCTCGTACTCTGGCTCAGAAACCTACGTCAAACAACGTGCGGAGATTAAAAAGAAATAAGAAAAAAAGTACAGCATGATCTTTTTTATTTAGGAAAATCCGAATCTTTTATGTAAGGAGCTACTTTTTTTTCTGAAACGTTTTACGCGCTACGGATTGCAGTCCAATATACCAATAGGCGCGCTTGCAGCGCTAGCTAGCCTTTACATGTCCAGGTGAATATCTCAAATTTTATAAGCATCGCAACTTGTCTATCTACTACCCCAAAGCAGTTTTCACCGTTCTACCACAAAACACAAAAAACATGTAAGTAGAAGCTGCAGTAACTCGATGTAGCACGACGTTTTCTTGGAATCTTCATTCTTGTGCCATGCTGAAACCACTAAAACGGCGAATTCGATGATTGAGAGCGCCTCACCGAGAAAAAACGCCGCCTCCGTTTTTTCCCCCGCTTACTTTTTTTTTTTTTTTGCACGAATGGGACGGCCGGAGAAGCGTTCGCGCGCATTGGGATGTCGGAGGCCATGACGTGTGCTCCAAACCAGTTCAAAATCAGGGTATCAGGGCACTCACGCTAACGCATTAAAAATAGACTTTTTCAACGCAAGCTAGGACATATACTGAATTATCAAAAAACGTTATATGAAGCATTAGAATGTAGATGATAAAACAAATCTAATGCCCTATTAGAAGTGGTTGTCTTATCTAGAATTAGATTAAAAGAACATGTTATATAGAGATGGCAACAAAATTAAACACATTTTCTAACAGCGGGAGAATATTTCGCGAACAGTACTCTATATTCAATTGTTCTATATCTAGTAAGCTCCTTGCACCAACTTCCGCATCACATTGCATTCGAACATACCACATTTGGAATACTCACCAAGATAAATGTATACTCCCTAAAACCAGGACAAGTATCGCCAAACATACATTATCGCATTAGATTCCAAATCATTTTATCAGATTCCCTCAAATCACGTTTAGCCTAGCTTTCACCGAGCAAATGCAAGCATATTTAAAAGCAACCCTTAATTTAAAAAAATAAGCTAAAAATAAAAATAAATTAAAAGTTGATTTATCGCTTTGTGCGACTGTTCTTCTATTACGATGTTTTAGTTTAAAATGCTGCTTTTGTGACATGTACTGTACTTAATTGGACCGTTTTTTTTATATATCTTTGTTCTGCCGCTGACAGTGATCAATTGTTAATGCGAAAGCCTTATAACTGTCTTATGGAGCGGAGCCAGTGGCGTCTGTAACCGCGAGAAACGGCACCTAAAAACCCGTAACCGCGAAAAACGGCACCTTAATTGGCTGCGACGCGTCATATCACATGCTTTGTCACGGGAGCCGGCGCGGCCGCTCGAAGTCAAAGCGGATGCTCTTCAGAAATAAAACACAAAGAAAAGCACAGCCACGCAATGTTCTGACACGGAAGCAGTCGTAAAGCCGGCAAGATTCGCCGCGCCTGCGCTGCGTGTAGGACTGCGGAAGCATTCCGACACGTAGCAGTCTTAAGTGCCTCTGCCGAATTCTCTATACTCCATATTTATAGCACCATCGGGGCCTCGTCAGACAATCTGGCCTTTTGCCTTGGTGTTGCACACAATATGTACCGTCTGAACAAACCGAAAAAAATATATGCCAAAATGTAAATTACGTCCCTTATTACAAGAAACTTCGAATATATTTTGAATTAGATGATCCGTGAGTACTTACCAATTGTTCGGAAGTCTATGGGTCCAAATCCGTCTCTCCAAAGAAAATTTATCGTCGGATTTTTTTTCTGTGTGTACTTCTGCACACTTGAAAGGTATTCCGGTTGGATCCAGCGGAAAAACAGGGTCTTCCTCGAATGTACCTCCGACCACGTAAAACGTCATCTTTCGTAAGAATAGCTAATGAACGTACGCAAAAGCTTCAGTTTAATAATCAATAATTAGTGCACCAAGTTAAGAAAAAAAAAGAAAAAACAACAACAACATCAACAATCGAGTTGATTGAAGTCAATTCACATTAGGAGGTGTAAAATAGTAAATCAACCAACAGAAAACAAGGGTGCAAGCATGCTGGTGAATATTCAACTGTGACTTCACCCGAGACTGGAGTTTATTTTGCATGTTACGATTTCAAGAAAATGTTTTAAGGTTTACCGGGTGATGATAGAAGGTGGTTTGGTTTTTTTGTGCCCTCTGACCTAGAGAACTTTAGATGGTTGATTTCAATAGTAATTTGAAGGCAGGGATGGGCACCATGTAAAATACTTTGTGTGTTTCGTATCTCGTATTTAATTACATATCAAGGATTGTATTTTTAATTGTATTTAAATATAAAAAAATCAGTACTTTGAATACTTGTATTTTAAATACTGCCCAAACACAATTTCGGGCACTGTTCTGCGCAACAAAATGCGATTTTGGTTACTGTTGGTGATGGAAACCAGACGCAAGGCATGAAGTTTGCTGCACGGAATGCAAACAATAGACACTGAATAAAAAAAAAAAAAATTGAGAATTATGAATTAACGGTATGGATACAATTATTAGTTTCTTCGTTGAGGTATTTAATTTTTTAAAAAGACGACACATTATGGAAATGTTTGAAAATCCTTTGATGCTTCAACTGAGGCTTTGAAATTAAACCCACACTCAGTTCATTATTTTTCGTGCACTTTTATTTCATTCGTTCATATTCAAATTTATATTCTTTATTTGAGCTCTTTATGAGAGGAGGGCAGTCACAGAAGGCCAAAGACTCATACCAGAAGGTTTGTGACACCTTGTCCTAAAGGTTAAGTTACAAGAATACAACGGATAACACCGTACAGACACACATGCACGCGAGCATGAAAGGAAAAGATGACACATAATGAGTATAGACACTGCAAAAGAATATTAACGATAAAAAAAGGGAGGAGGAAGAAAGGGGGTGGGTGAGGGTGAGGTACTGCGTTGTACGGGCACAGCATCATTACAAAGCTCCTTGGGGCTCATGTCGCCTTCTAAGGCACCAGCGGTCATTTCGTTTGGCAGCGAGCGCCACATCTCAACAGCTGTGATAAGGAAGGACTGCTCATGGTGCACTGTTCTGAAAAATTTGGGCTGGAGCCCTCCAACCCGGGTGTGTCTTTGGTCGTAAAAAAATGGAGGGGGTTAGTGATCAGGGCGGGATATGGTGGCAAGTGGCCGAAGAGACACAACTTTTCGTCCGAGTGCCAAAATTTTCCAATAGACAGATGTCACCAAGCGAACTGCGCAGGCGCGCGCATTCCGGAAGTGGTGCCGCCGCCATGCTATTTGTAGTCATCCCTTCCCGGCTACATACGGCTGCGCTTACTACATCATCATAGATTATCATTTGGCACGCCCCGGTATCACCTCGATTCTCTTGCATGTTTTTACTTCATAGGATTGTGTTGTTTGTGATGCCTTACTTTCCTCAGCAAGTGCATAAAAGTAGTTTCAGTCGTCTTATCGCTTTAGAATCGCTTTGTCGTCTGCTTCGTCGTCGTCTGCTTCTTCGTCTTCGTGAACGCGTAAGCCCACTGCCGTTCACGGGGTAATCCCAGTGCGGCCGCGGAAAAAACATAACAAAAAAACAACTGCGCCACTACTCGAGCATTCCGACTCCTCGGACGTCTCAATTACCTTGCAAACAAGTGAACATCTAGTGCAATAGCAAAGAACAAGCAAATTCGAGGGACCATCGGCTCGGTGTAGCACCACGGAACAGCATAAAATGTGATGAAAAACTGAGCTTCGTGGTGCTCAGTCTTGTGCATAACGTTTAATCAGCCATCCAGTAAGACGAGCTAAATAGACTTTCTCGGTCAGCGATAGTTTTCTAAAAGTTGTTTCACTCTGGTTGACAGCCTGTGCGACAGAGTACAGATGAACAGCGGGAGAAGCCTGCACACAAAGAACTGATCTACAGAAAGGCCATGCCTGATGCGCCGTAATAATTGACATCTATCAAAAAGAAGCAACCATGCCAGATACCTGAAAGCTTGGGGTGGAGATGATTTTTCGTGCACAGTTTCTATTCAGTTTTATTTTGTTTGCGCAAGATCCGAACGCTAACAGTCGCCCGACGGGGGAAGCTTTTTTCTGCGGTCTCGACTGGTGCTAGTGCAGAATGGATTAGTAACACCAGCCTAATAGACCACCACAAGATAGATGAGGTTCGTTTGTTACATTTTTGGCGGTAAGTACGTGTTGCACTTCTAAATTGCATTATGTAATCTTTTCGCGTTGGTATGAAAAAAAAAAAAATGAAGGCTGCTTCCGAAAAAAAGTTGTTTTATATCAAGTGGTTCATATCGGGAATCGCTGCTCTTTTTTAGTGATTGTCCGGATCTTTTGAAGCACAGTTGTGCTTGAAACATGTCGTCGCAATAACAGTTATAACCACCAAAATACATCGAGTAAGAAGTGTATTAAAAACGGCCTCCGCAAAGCAGTGCGGAGGTCCTAGACCAACGAATAGGCCGCTACGGAGCAAATGGTCTGAGAGATTCCAGCTTACGGAACACATCGGCACGCTCTATGTCTCGTGCCCTGTAACCCTACATATTTTAGCTGACGTGCAATAATTGGATATCAATTATGAAGCAAATCGCGAAACAAATTGTAAAACGCTATTTTTCCTGCCGCTCTGTCCGGCTCTGTCGACCTTTGTTTGCCATGCTTCTTTCTTGCGGGAAGACATATAATATCCGAGGCCTTTTTGCCTGGTGCTGTTATTATAGCTCCGTGGCATACAACATGTGAAGCCACCGATTGAAAACCATGAGTCAACACCTGGCTAAAAGTCTCGTGCCAACCCGAAAATTTCCAAACGCCGGGCGTACAATGCGCGCCGACGCGGCCGGAAAACTGGGGAGAACTACAGGTACCAGAATGCACCGCGGCAGCGGTGGCGTCGCGCAACTCCTCGTAAGATCGGTCTATTTACAGCCTTTAAGAGCTGGGCCGTCCGAGTGTCATTCTATCGAGAAAGGCCTGCTGGTGAACCTCTGCACAGGACTGTGTATGCGGCACGACGTTGTATAGACTCCAGCGAGGCACTGACGCGTGCTTGTAGTGGGCCCCACACTGAACAACAGTACTCCAGGCTCCAGCTGTGATAAAACAAGAGTTGTGAAAAGGCTTCTGAGAGTATCAGCTACCATACCCTTGCAGGTACGAGTGATGAAGCTCAGTATTCGCCTGGCCTTGGATGTCGCTTCGTGGATGTGTTGAGGGAACTGAAGTCGTGGGCAAGCGCAACACCAAGAAGTCTGGTCTGCTAACAGGGGGTGCCACCGGCCAAGTCAGTATAGGTGGGCTGTCGGCGGTCTTCCCGTGCGTCATCAGCACGACGGAGCATATTGATGAGTTGAGGGGTAGATGGTTTGCCAGCGACCGGTGTTGGATATGGTCTATATCCTCTTGCAAATATTGATAGTGCCTGTGACTTAACGCAGGGTATTACCACGTGACCTCGTCGGCATTAATTATATGGCGTAGAGCGCATAGAGAACACAAGGTTGGACCACCGTTGCACATGATATGGCGCTACGAAACAACTCGCTGCCTACTGTCATGCACATAAGTGCCGACCAAGGGGGGGCCTGGGGTCCCGAGCCTCCCCCCCCCCCCCCCCCCCCCCCCCCCCCTCAAAATTTCTCAGGAAAATTTCCCGGGACCCAGTGTTGGACAAAATACTTGATAAAAGAATTTAAGTTAAGTTACTAAATACCTGCTCCATAAAGTGCTTAAAATACTTCTCAAGTTACTTTCACTGCAAAGTATCTTGAGTAGAGTACAAATACTGAGAGTCAATTACTTTTGAAGATACTTCCGCATTGCATAACTTGTATCGACGTCAGTGACAAGCACAATTATACAGTTTCGCAAATCTGGTTTACCAGAATGGTTTATTAGCGTAAATCAACACAAGACGAAAAAAAAAACACAAAAAAACACTGTAGGGCTGTTTTATGCAGTCTAACTATAAAGAGCAGGATATCACTGATACAGGTTACAAAACATTCAGGGACGTAAAAAAAAAAAAAGAGGTCGCTTTAGCTATGCGCGTTGGCCTACCATAATGGCTGTCATCTATATGATGGTCGTACAACAGTAGTAAAAGTCGCGGTCTGCAACGCGTAATTAATTATAGTTTTGCTTTATACAAGCAGTATTAGAGCCCTACTTTATTTTTTCCCGCCCGGAAGGTGGTGGCAATCACCTTTTCTGTGAAGCCGAGCATCCATGAGCTAGGGAGTGCGATTCTGACACCGCGGTACCACAATTGCTGAAAGTTTCGAATAGTGACATCGCTGAATGTCAAGTCCAGCGGCGCACCTTAGACGCATCGTTGAAGTACAATTCATATTCGCTACATGGGAAGTTCACTATAAATGAACTTGGGATACGGAAATGAGTGAATGGATGACAAAGAGAGCCCAGAAATAAGTTAAGGCACTGGTCGCACCTTCTTCAAGTAGGTTGCGTTCAGAAATGCACTCAACATTGGGGGACACTTTGTTGGCATTTTGAGGGGTCATCCTGCGCGTAGTTGGCTTCCTGTCCTGTTCTCTGCTCATCAATATTCGCTTACAAACAGTGTTCGCGAGAGCAATAAGCGCGACAAAAAGGAAGGAAAAAAAAAAACCTCGACGTTTTGTTTATAGCGAAATCAAATGCTCGCCAACACAAAAAAGTGTCTTCTTTTTGTGGCCGTTTCGCATTTACTTCTATTTGTTATTTTCTTGACACTAAGTCTGCATTGCTGTCGTTGGTCGTTTCCCGTTCTGCGTTGCGCCTCAGTGTGGCAATCTTTACTTCGGTAAAACCACGTGCCCTTTTTGTTTGAGGATATTCGGGGGTAAAACTTGAGGTAACAAATGACGTCT